GCAAGTACATTCCAAAGCAAGCGTTGTCCGAAATTTCTGCTTCTTGCTTTCATTCCTTCGTGATAAAATTCTTCGAATATCTGACGCTTTGATGACTCCTTGCAAAATCTGCATTTTTCGTTTTTTTACACTGTTGCAGTTTTTTATTAATTTACGAAACAATGTTTACAAGTGAAAACGTAAATTGAAGAATTGAAGAACTGGTCATGATGGGACCTTGTGGCAAAAGTGCCCGAATCTATATGTCATCAAAAATTTGATTCTTATAATCTTTTTAAGTTTGCAATCACCACTTCATTACATAGTGACCAATACCCATTACCCAAGACAAAGAGTAATTCAGCGTGTAAAATCCTTATCTACTTCATCATCTTCTTCTTTTTACCTTCAAACAATGACCAGTGGTAAAGGTCGATAAGTTCAGGTGATCTGAACTGACGCCGTTGGGGTTTCGTCGGGTGAGAGTGACGTTTAAACACCTTCCCATGCTACCAGCATGCAGAGGAAAATGATAGTTGGTCATCATACCGTCAATCGATTTTCTCAATTTAGTTCAAACGAGATTGAGCTGCAAATGATGCGAAAAAGACGAAATGCAGAGAAGATCTTCGCGAATTATTTTTGCTCAGACAGTTGGAAGTTCTCAGCGTGCAGCCGTAAAGCTCCTCAGACAATCGACGGGACCCCTCCGCCGGACCCTCGGAAACTGCCAGGGTCGCGCCGGACCCAGTTGACCAATGAGAGAAGGGCAAATGGGCGGTCCATCGCGGTGGCATCACTGGCAGGCAAATGGGAGGCTTCTCCGGCCCTGCTGCAAAGGTCTGCCATTTCTCCGGCGCGACTCTGCCAGATTTGACGGACTCCGCGCCGCAGAGATCTGCGCGGCGCGTGTCCGTTAAATTTGGAAGAGACGCGCCGGAGAAATTGGGAGGGGTCCGGAGCAGAAATGGGAGGCCTCCGGAGCAGAAAATGGGAGGTATCCGGAGCAGGCTGCGTATCGATTTGGCGCGTAGCCACGCTTGAGATTTTGAGACGTTCTTAAATGCGCGCTATCTAGACTATCTAGTGTTGTTGTGATAAAAGTATCGTCTAAATTATCCGTTTATTGCTATCTTTCTTGTACGTATGCTTACCAAGTCGATCGACTTTTCATCAGACGTTGCAGATCCTCACTATATCGTTTTTGGCTTGATAGATAGGACAAGGCAAGAGTTATGTTGACAAAAGTCTTGGAGGCAACTCCAAACGATGTTGAAGTTTTGATAGATCTTGCTCAGCTTCTGGAAGGAGTTGATCCGCATGTTAGTTTACATCATCAATTACATTTTACGAGTTTTGACAACCGGCTCTTCTAGAAATCGCTCACTCTCTATGAAAATGCTTGTGATCTCATAAAAACGAGCGAAGATGGTTTACAAATTGATCCTCCAGCTGCTATCTTAAACAATATCGGAGCCTTGCACATGACTTTGGAAAATTATGAAAGGGCGAAGGAGTACTTCAAAGCAGCGGAAGCTAAGCTCCAAGTAAGTTGCATGTGCTTAGCTTCGCTCATTCTCTTCGATCGTTACAGGAAGATTTGGAGGGAGATCTGTGCGATTCGAAACTTTCTTCCTATGTCATCACTATGAGATACAACCTCGCTAGATGTTTGGAACACTTGTGCTTGTTCGAAGACGCTGAAGTTTTATACAAAGGCATTTTGAGAGAACAAGAAAATTACACGGATTGTAAGTTTTTTCAAATTAACATTCTGTGCACTCATTCTAGTGCATCATATTGCAAAGGTTATCTTCGTCTCGGATGTCTTGCACGCGATCGAGGGCAGATTTATGAATCATCGGTGTGGTTCAAAGAAGCGATGTCCGTTGGGAAGGAAGGATCGGTTATCAATGTTTACTCTTTATCCTGTGTAAGCAGAACCGGTTTATTTTTTGCATTCAAGCATTTCCATTCTCCTCAACACTTTCACTCCTTTCTGCTCCAACTTTTCCTTCCAAAAATTGTGCGATCCGCGCCAACTCTTCTTGCGTCCTGGGTAGAATTGCCTCATTTTCCTTCCAAGGAACTATCTCATGAGTAAGCGGCTTAAATTTGGATGTGATGGTTTGCTGTTCAAGGCATGTTTTTGAAAAAGGCGGTTCATTCTTAGTTTGCAATTTTTTTAGTCGTAAGCATGACTCAATCTGTTGTCGTGATTCTCCTCTTTTTCATCAGTTTTCATGTTCGTTTCGTTGTCAAGCCTTTAAGCTAAATATGTTAAGCTGTGCGTAAGGGATCGTTCATACCGCGCACAAAGGCGGACGAAGGCGGACGAAGCTGGACAAAGGCGGACGAAGCCGGACAAAGGCGGACGAAGGCGCGTGTGAGTGTGTGTGCGTGTCGAGAGAAACGAGACGGGACGAGACCGCGCCTTCGTCCGCCTTTGTCCGGCTTCGTCCGGCTTCGTCCGCCTTTGTGCGCGGTATGAACGATCCCTAATATCGGTCGAGAAACAAGCAACGAAAGAGTAAGGGAACTTCATAGGAGAACTTATGTTTTTCCTAGCTGCGACGCATTATTCTGGAGGAGTATTGATTTTTTTTGTTTACAAAATCTGATCTACTAGCATTGTTCATCATCTAGGTGCTAATTTGCTGCGTTAAAATTCTTGTCAGTGACAGAATACTCATTTGATGCCATTTTAGTATCCCAGCACGGTTTTTACGCAACTTTCCATCTACTGCAAGCGCTCCCAGGTTGGATAGTATGCCAATTTCGCAGGAAAGGTGCGCGTAACTTTCTTCAGAGTAGGTGCCGCAACTAAGGACAGCATTATTTGGAATCGGCGTTCGAAGCTTTCCGAATATATATCTCATCTCAAAACGAATTCAAGTTAAATGAATTCCCTTGTCAGAGTGAATCATCTAGCTACTTAGCGGACGAGCTTGTGAATTTTCTACTGGAGAAGATTGCTGATGTTAGCGGACTATCCGTGTCCTCTCAATTACGTCAATCCTCATCTACTCGGTGGAACTGCGCATTGTTTCATCTTTCCATAGATCATTATTTACATCATTTTTTTTATCATTTATCAAATTCACATCTTTAGCGATTAAGCTCAATGGCTGGTCACCTTCCAGCTTGCGTCATTGACAATGGGACGGGCTACACAAAATTAGGCTATGCTGGAAACTGCGAACCTCAGTTTATAATCCCTTCGGGTTGGCGATGCTTGTTGTTTGTTCATCTTCTGTAAAGAACTGCATACAGCCATCGCTGTAAAGGACAAAATAGCCAGTTCGAATGCAGCCGCTCTTCGTTGGAATACATCTACTGGATAAAAATTGATGATCTGGATTTTTTCATCGGCGATGAGGCCCTATCTCCTTCCGCAGCTAATTACTCAGCAAAGGTAGGGATTTGATACATATCTATGCAGAACTTTTATCTAGGAGTTTTGCAGTACCCGATTCGCCATGGAATCGTTGAAGATTGGGATTTGATGGAACGATTTTGGGAACAATGCATCTTCAAGTATCTGAGAGCTGAACCTGAAGATCATTTCTTCCTCTTGGTACGCACTTCTTCATTAACTCCATCTTCTTTTTTTAAGCTTCATACGCTTCCTTTTCACTCTTTCTATTTTTCGTTTCTTCTTTCAAACAGGATAATTCGAAGATGATAATAGGTACGTTTCGTATTGGAACGAATGACTAATTTTCTACTTCTTTTTCGATCAAAAACCGTATGTTTTGGTTTAGGCTGCGTATTAGCATCGAAAGCAATGTGGCAAGATGCCCGTGACATCTTCGCTCAAGTTCGTGAAGCTACCTCGGAATTCGAAGATGTTTGGATGAATATAGCTCATGTATATATAGAACTTGGACAATATGTCCCTGCTTTGCAAATGTGAGTTTATGGCGTTCCTCGCTGTTTTGTTTCATGTTGCACAGAATGCTTTTTTGATCTTTTTGTCATTTTCTTACCAGGTTAAAACCATATGCTTATACTGTGGTGTTACAAGGTTCTTTTTGCAACTAGGAAATTAGTTTCTCTTTGAATATTCTTATCTCTAACTCCTAGTATGGTTTTTGTAATATGTATTAACTGTTGTACGTATGCTGGAGATAGATAGATAGATTTTTCGAAAGTTTGAAAAATTTGAAATAAATGTCTTATCTCTTCGTTCTTTCTTCTATCTTCTATCCATAAACGCTAGGGGTGAGAGGGAGGGGGTAGAGTACGGGGTGAGGGTCGCGCTAAACTCCTACCCGGGGGAGGGGGGTCCTATTCGGCTTATTTGGGTGGGGTTTAGAGACAAAATTGGGGTTTGGAGCTTAAAGGCAGCGTCCAGGCAAGTCTGGACCTATGGGTATTTTACATGGAAAGTACTTTTGGGGCCCTAACTAAGCCATTACCCAACCGGCAGCTCAAGTAGTGCTCTAACGCCTGAGATATTCTGCTCGAAACCGGACCCCGCGACCGTGTTTCGCATGGATTCATGGCGCAAAGCGTGGATCCTGGCGCGAAACTGCCATGAATCCATGCGAATACGTTCGCGGGGGGTCTGTTTCGAGGGGAATATCTTCGCCATTAGAGCACTACCTGAACTGCTGCTTCGGCAGTGCCTTAGTTAGGGCCCCAAAAATACTTTCCATGTAAAAGCCCCATAGGTCCAGATCTGCCTGGAAGCTGCCTTTAATTAGGGCTAATTACAGTATGCCGCGATCGGGGGGCTCCGGCGCACAAAATCGGGGGGCTCCGGAGCAGAAAATGGGAGGTATCCGGAGCAGGCTGCGTATCGATTTGGCGCGTAGCCACGCTTGAGATTTTGAGACGTTCTTAAATGCGCGCTATCTAGACTATCTAGTGTTGTTGTGATAAAAGTATCGTCTAAATTATCCGTTTATTGCTATCTTTCTTGTACGTATGCTTACCAAGTCGATCGACTTTTCATCAGACGTTGCAGATCCTCACTATATCGTTTTTGGCTTGATAGATAGGACAAGGCAAGAGTTATGTTGACAAAAGTCTTGGAGGCAACTCCAAACGATGTTGAAGTTTTGATAGATCTTGCTCAGCTTCTGGAAGGAGTTGATCCGCATGTTAGTTTACATCATCAATTACATTTTACGAGTTTTGACAACCGGCTCTTCTAGAAATCGCTCACTCTCTATGAAAATGCTTGTGATCTCATAAAAACGAGCGAAGATGGTTTACAAATTGATCCTCCAGCTGCTATCTTAAACAATATCGGAGCCTTGCACATGACTTTGGAAAATTATGAAAGGGCGAAGGAGTACTTCAAAGCAGCGGAAGCTAAGCTCCAAGTAAGTTGCATGTGCTTAGCTTCGCTCATTCTCTTCGATCGTTACAGGAAGATTTGGAGGGAGATCTGTGCGATTCGAAACTTTCTTCCTATGTCATCACTATGAGATACAACCTCGCTAGATGTTTGGAACACTTGTGCTTGTTCGAAGACGCTGAAGTTTTATACAAAGGCATTTTGAGAGAACAAGAAAATTACACGGATTGTAAGTTTTTTCAAATTAACATTCTGTGCACTCATTCTAGTGCATCATATTGCAAAGGTTATCTTCGTCTCGGATGTCTTGCACGCGATCGAGGGCAGATTTATGAATCATCGGTGTGGTTCAAAGAAGCGATGTCCGTTGGGAAGGAAGGATCGGTTATCAATGTTTACTCTTTATCCTGTGTAAGCAGAACCGGTTTATTTTTTGCATTCAAGCATTTCCATTCTCCTCAACACTTTCACTCCTTTCTGCTCCAACTTTTCCTTCCAAAAATTGTGCGATCCGCGCCAACTCTTCTTGCGTCCTGGGTAGAATTGCCTCATTTTCCTTCCAAGGAACTATCTCATGAGTAAGCGGCTTAAATTTGGATGTGATGGTTTGCTGTTCAAGGCATGTTTTTGAAAAAGGCGGTTCATTCTTAGTTTGCAATTTTTTTAGTCGTAAGCATGACTCAATCTGTTGTCGTGATTCTCCTCTTTTTCATCAGTTTTCATGTTCGTTTCGTTGTCAAGCCTTTAAGCTAAATATGTTAAGCTGTGCGTAAGGGATCGTTCATACCGCGCACAAAGGCGGACGAAGGCGGACGAAGCTGGACAAAGGCGGACGAAGCCGGACAAAGGCGGACGAAGGCGCGTGTGAGTGTGTGTGCGTGTCGAGAGAAACGAGACGGGACGAGACCGCGCCTTCGTCCGCCTTTGTCCGGCTTCGTCCGGCTTCGTCCGCCTTTGTGCGCGGTATGAACGATCCCTAATATCGGTCGAGAAACAAGCAACGAAAGAGTAAGGGAACTTCATAGGAGAACTTATGTTTTTCCTAGCTGCGACGCATTATTCTGGAGGAGTATTGATTTTTTTTGTTTACAAAATCTGATCTACTAGCATTGTTCATCATCTAGGTGCTAATTTGCTGCGTTAAAATTCTTGTCAGTGACAGAATACTCATTTGATGCCATTTTAGTATCCCAGCACGGTTTTTACGCAACTTTCCATCTACTGCAAGCGCTCCCAGGTTGGATAGTATGCCAATTTCGCAGGAAAGGTGCGCGTAACTTTCTTCAGAGTAGGTGCCGCAACTAAGGACAGCATTATTTGGAATCGGCGTTCGAAGCTTTCCGAATATATATCTCATCTCAAAACGAATTCAAGTTAAATGAATTCCCTTGTTAGAGTGAATCATCTAGCTACTTAGCGGACGAGCTTGTGAATTTTCTACTGGAGAAGATTGCTGATGTTAGCGGACTATCCGTGTCCTCTCAATTACGTCAATCCTCATCTACTCGGTGGAACTGCGCATTGTTTCATCTTTCCATAGATCATTATTTACATCATTTTTTTTTATCATTTATCAAATTCACATCTTTAGCGATTAAGCTCAATGGCTGGTCACCTTCCAGCTTGCGTCATTGACAATGGGACGGGCTACACAAAATTAGGCTATGCTGGAAACTGCGAACCTCAGTTTATAATCCCTTCGGGTTGGCGATGCTTGTTGTTTGTTCATCTTCTGTAAAGAACTGCATACAGCCATCGCTGTAAAGGACAAAATAGCCAGTTCGAATGCAGCCGCTCTTCGTTGGAATACATCTACTGGATAAAAATTGATGATCTGGATTTTTTCATCGGCGATGAGGCCCTATCTCCTTCCGCAGCTAATTACTCAGCAAAGGTAGGGATTTGATACATATCTATGCAGAACTTTTATCTAGGAGTTTTGCAGTACCCGATTCGCCATGGAATCGTTGAAGATTGGGATTTGATGGAACGATTTTGGGAACAATGCATCTTCAAGTATCTGAGAGCTGAACCTGAAGATCATTTCTTCCTCTTGGTACGCACTTCTTCATTAACTCCATCTTCTTTTTTTAAGCTTCATACGCTTCCTTTTCACTCTTTCTATTTTTCGTTTCTTCTTTCAAACAGGATAATTCGAAGATGATAATAGGTACGTTTCGTATTGGAACGAATGACTAATTTTCTACTTCTTTTTCGATCAAAAACCGTATGTTTTGGTTTAGGCTGCGTATTAGCATCGAAAGCAATGTGGCAAGATGCCCGTGACATCTTCGCTCAAGTTCGTGAAGCTACCTCGGAATTCGAAGATGTTTGGATGAATATAGCTCATGTATATATAGAACTTGGACAATATGTCCCTGCTTTGCAAATGTGAGTTTATGGCGTTCCTCGCTGTTTTGTTTCATGTTGCACAGAATGCTTTTTTGATCTTTTTGTCATTTTCTTACCAGGTTAAAACCATATGCTTATACTGTGGTGTTACAAGGTTCTTTTTGCAACTAGGAAATTAGTTTCTCTTTGAATATTCTTATCTCTAACTCCTAGTATGGTTTTTGTAATATGTATTAACTGTTGTACGTATGCTGGAGATAGATAGATAGATTTTTCGAAAGTTTGAAAAATTTGAAATAAATGTCTTATCTCTTCGTTCTTTCTTCTATCTTCTATCCATAAACGCTAGGGGTGAGAGGGAGGGGGTAGAGTACGGGGTGAGGGTCGCGCTAAACTCCTACCCGGGGGAGGGGGGTCCTATTCGGCTTATTTGGGTGGGGTTTAGAGACAAAATTGGGGTTTGGAGCTTAAAGGCAGCGTCCAGGCAAGTCTGGACCTATGGGTATTTTACATGGAAAGTACTTTTGGGGCCCTAACTAAGCCATTACCCAACCGGCAGCTCAAGTAGTGCTCTAACGCCTGAGATATTCTGCTCGAAACCGGACCCCGCGACCGTGTTTCGCATGGATTCATGGCGCAAAGCGTGGATCCTGGCGCGAAACTGCCATGAATCCATGCGAATACGTTCGCGGGGGGTCTGTTTCGAGGGGAATATCTTCGCCATTAGAGCACTACCTGAACTGCTGCTTCGGCAGTGCCTTAGTTAGGGCCCCAAAAATACTTTCCATGTAAAAGCCCCATAGGTCCAGATCTGCCTGGAAGCTGCCTTTAATTAGGGCTAATTACAGTATGCCGCGATCGGGGGGCTCCGGCGCACAAAATCGGGGGGCTCCGGAGCAGAAAATGGGAGGTATCCGGAGCAGAAAATGGGGGGTATCCGGAGCAGAAATGGGAGGTATCCGGAGCAGAAAATGGGAGGGCTCCGCCGGACAAATGGGAGACCCACCGCTGGGGATACGCCGCGACCCTGCCACTTCTCCGGCAGAGGGGTCCGATCCGCTGTCTGAGTCCCAGCGATCCCCACAAAAAACCAGCATGCCTTATAGCTGCCATCGTTAATTCTCTCTGAATGCCATGTGGCTTCCACATCACTGCCGCGTACAGCAGCTCGCTCAGGTCTAACACGGCAGCACGCTGACGGTCAGTTGAAGCAGCCCGCTCACTGCCGTTGTAGAAACCCACTTACCGCCGCTTATCGCCTCGCGCTCATTGCCATCAAGAGCTCGCTATTCTCGTTTTTTGAGTGTGCTAAAATTCAGCGGTTGGGGAACATTTTGTTAAAAGACCTGCGCGAACTACTGTTATTTTTACATTCTAGTGGCAATCGTTGCTCTAGCCCGTGAATAAACGTATCAGGAAAATCCGCTCTTTTCGGGATCTTACTCCTTCTTATACCAGCATTATCAGTCGCTTAACAATACGACTTCGATTGCCTACCTACACTACAACAAAACACGTAATGGCAACTCAACCAAGCAAAATACAAATGACGAAACGAAATTAAAACTCAAGTTTAAGGCAATGTAGCCCTAACAATTAGTCGAGATCTCGACCATTCCGTAGACTTATTTTGACTTGCGTATATCTATCTAATTGGGCCAAGAGCTTACGGAAGGTTCCGTGCACGGTATACTTGATTTTGTGCTTCTCTCATTTGGATCAAATGATCGGTTTCCGGTAGTTTTCTCCTTCGCTTCTAAAAATTAATTGAGTTGCTTTTTGCATGGGCGTCCCAAAAGTATGTAGACACTGTTTGATCGTTAATATCTCTCTTCCCAAGGAGTCTTTAACCTACCTTAAGGCACCTTGTAAAGCTGGCTTCAACTTAGGTTTACGGTAGGCAACGAATCAACGACCGCTCTTCGATACTATAAGATTATGGTGGGAGCTACTCCGCTTATGCAGCATATTAGCTCAAAGCTTCTCTGCGGATTGCCTTGGTCTTTCAACCTGATACAATGTTTGCTTAAAGATTCCAATGGTAGACGATGTTGAAGTGCGACTTAGTATGACTTGCTAAAAGGCAAGCACAAATTTCGACTTCTTTTCAACAATTAGACGCTCGGAGTGCTCGTCGTTCTCATTTACCCTAAATAGTCTTAAATCACCGGCTGTAATTCGTGGTATACTCGCGAGGATCCAGAAGCCGATAATGGTTATTGAAGACGCACACACAGCTGATGGAGTCGCTCGAGAAAATGCTGACACGGTGCTTGTAGTTGAACGGTGAGGCAGCAGCAAGTTTTAGACGTGTAGCTGATGCTTTCTTTATTAGTATGAGAAGCTCTCAGAGTTTGAGGCAAGACATTATCTGAAGCGAAGGTAGTTGCGGCAATAGTAACCAAGAAAAATCCAACAAAGCGACACTATTATTGATACTTTGTACGTAATAATTAGTCATATAACAGAAACATATGCATGACCTTTGAATTCTGTGTAGACAATTCAGTGTAGACACAATGTCTTTGGATGGATAAAGCTAGACGAACTTGAGTGGTTTTTGTAATTTGTTGAAAAGAATGTTATGCGCTCGAATGGCGTTAATCAGCCCTATCCCTATATCCCGGAGAGGATGCTCGGTATATTGATTATGGTTATCTAAATCTTGGAATTGGCCACAGCATTTGTGCTCATTTAGGGGTACTCTTGAGAATTTAGCGTTACGATTACACAAGAACAATGATGTGCAAAAAGCTTCAAAACTATCACTCTTGATGTAGATCATGTTTTGCCTACTGTGCAGAGATCTCCACCAGTACCCGAAAACTGGACGGATTTCTGTTGAGTACAACTCCGAGCTGAAATACGGCAATTATAAGAAAAGCTACCTACCTTAGCTCGGCTTTTTGGCAAGGGACACGTATATTCTGAATCAACTTTAAACACTGATTGCAAATATGCTTACTTAGCTGCAGCGCACCATTCCGAAGCGAGTTACGGGGAGTTACGGGGTTTTTCCTGCGCAGTATTGACATATTCATCGATTCACTGGCATCACGGCATCGTTATCTTATTGTTAGGCCAATACACTTGCGTTAAGATTCACTTTAATGAGAAAAGATTGGATTTGTGTTATTCCGATATCTTAGCACCTTTTTCTTGCAGATTTTCACTTACAGGCAGTCTTCCCTTGTTCATACCAATTTTGCGCAGAAAAAAAGCCCATAACTCGTTGCGGGATGGTGCGCAGCAGCTAGGAGCAGCATATTTGGAATCAGTGCTTCAAGCTGATTTGGAATATAGAAGGTTTCCCAAAAAATGTACCTACTGTTTGATTGTAAATAACTCTCTTGTAATGATGTGTTTCGAGAAGCTTTGGGTACCATCTTGTAGAGCGAGGCTCACCTTAGATCTACAGTATGGAGCGAATCATCGATCGCTTTCCATTACTGTAGGATTACGGGAAGACCTTGCAGCATATGGAACCATTGCGAAATATACCAACTAACAAAATTTTTTTCAAAAAATCTGAAAAATCGGGTAGTAGGGCTTTCGCACATGCTGATTGCACCTAACAACTTCTTACAGTGTTTTCAGCTTTTTTGAAAGTGTAATTACCTTTCTGACAAATGCTGGGGATTGAGTTACTACGATATACATGGAATAATTTAGGAAAGAAGCATCACAGTAAAATGGCAGTTTCAAATTCGAAATCAGCGAACTCTCATTACCTTAGCATAAGAGTTTTTGGCTTGTTTGATTTTGTTCCGAGGCAGACTATAGCATACAATGGCCCAAAATCCTTGTCAATGTTCGTACCGTAATCCCACAGTAACGAAAAGCGATAAATGATTCGGTCCATACTGCAAATCTAAGTTGAACCTCGCTCTACAAAATATCTAAAGCTTCCCGAAACACTTCATTACAAGAGAGTTATTTACAATCAAACAGTAGGTACTTTTTCGGGACGCCCTGTATATGTCCTTTGCTAAAAGGCCAAGATAAGTTGGGTAGCTTCCCTTAAGAGTATAGAGTAAATTCGAGAGAGCTTACAATGCTTCCTCTCCCCATTGCAGAAATTTCCTGTGAAATTCTTAGGGCTGCTCAGCCGCGACCCAACAGTTTGCAGGTATGTACACGCGATCATTAGCATAAATGCCGACTGGAAGATTCAAAGGCAGCGTCCCGAAAAAACGCTCATTTTCGCCGTTTTTAAGCTTTCAAAAGTGGTTTTTGAGAATCAGCGTATTAAAAAACCCCAGGTAAGCGCAAATTTGACTAGGTTGAGATTTGCTGAGCCACTGCCTTTAAGTTACAAATGACTTGAGGTTGACATATCACCAAATTGCAAAAGTGCTTGTCGTAATCACAAGAAAATAGGTCATCAAGGAGTTCATTCAACTCTGGCGGCAATCCTAGAAAATACCGGACACCGCAAGGTTGGCAATCAGTCAAAAAGGTTCTTCGCAATTGTATCACTTGCAAAACAATGCACGGGTTATCCTACAAATAGCCAAACCTACAGTTCCAGCTGCTGAAAAAGTTCGGCGATTATACGTCTTCGAAAACGTCGATATAGATTATGCTGGACCGTTCACGTTTAGGATTCTGAGAAACGTACAAGAAAAGAGATGGGTTTGTCTTTTGACATGTGTGACCACAAGAGCTATTCACTAGAAACAGTTGACGTACTTTCAGCTTTAGACTTTACACAAGCCTTGAGAAGCTTTGTAGCTTAGAGAAACACTCTACGATACGTGATATTAGACAACGCTACGACCTTTGTGCTAGGGCATGACGTTATCGAACAATTATTGAAAGGAGAAATGATTTCAACAAAAATGATATTTTAGTACAAATGGAAAATCTTGGAAATTTATCACACCTTTATCACCAGGACGTTTTTACGCAAGGTTGGTGGTCGGAAATGTAAAAGCTTGTTTACGTCAGACAATTAAGGGTAAGTTTCTATCGGACAATCAATTCCGTACAATTTGTGCAGAATGCGAAGCTATCGTAAATGCAAGACCTTTAACGTACGTTACATCAGAACCCCACGATTATGATCCCCCTCGCCCCGTGGATTTTCTGCAACCTAGTTCTCATATCACCCCGTGGAAGTTTGAACCAGACACTTATGACCCAAGTTTCAGACTGTTATTATCGCAAAATGAAGCAATACAGTTGTTAGAAGATACACGGACACTACTCAAAAAAGTTTGGAAAGTCTATTCACAAACTTATCTCGATAATCTTC